AAAATAGAGAGGGCATTTGGGATGGCCAAGAGGCTGAAATCCTCTATAAAACCTTCAGAAAAAGGAACAAAGAGTTTTCCATCAAGACTTTCCAAATCGAGGAAGAGGCTAAGAAAGCTAAGCCGATGCTGAGGCCGTAAAGAGGCAACAGGTCGAGAAATCATGAAGCTTGCTTCTGCTTTGGCAGAAATTGAAAATTTGAAGAATGAAGTTGACTTACCCCAATGTGAATTGGCTTCCTCGACCAAATGAGTGGAGATTTCTAATGCACACCAAAAATTGGCTGCTGAGGCCTTGAAAATGTCAAATAAAGAAAATGTTGTACTCAAACAATGGGTAAAGGAGCTTGACTACAGAGTTGCTAGACTTACTGAAGAGGTAGAGTGAGCTTGGGAAAGCCTAATCGACTAGCAAAGATGTTGCGAAGCAGTATATTGCTAGCTTTCATTTAGCTGAGGAGTACCAACGTTTCGCCAAATATTGGAGGAGGTTTACGTATTTCAAGTTGACGGAATGATTGAGATACACTCGACTTTCAACACCGCCAAACTAAGGTCAAAATTCTATGAAGAGGGAGAAAATGGAAAGTCTGAGACTCCAACGAAGGGCAGCCATATAATAGAGCTTGAAGATGATACGGCTGGGGACAATGTGACTTCTGAAGTAGTCGACCCCAATGCCATCATTCTTTTCGTTGGTGCTTCTCCTCCTTCCTCACCTGTTTAGCTATTGGGCCTTTAATTTTCTTACTTTCGTTGTAAATAGCTTTAGTCCCATTGTAATTATGAATTTTTAATAAAACGAATCCTTCTCTTACATTCATGAAATTTTATTGAACTTCATTTCAATATTATTGCTTTTTGACATATTAATGCTTCCTACATGCTATGTCCTATAATAAGACTCCTTTCAAAAAAAGTTTTACCTTTAATAGGGCTTTGCCTATGTTTCGACTTTATCTTTCCTCATCAAGGGATTGAATGGCTCATCTATGTAGAGACTTTCCCTACATCTTTTGTCAATGGAAGGCATGTGCTATCCACTTCGGCGAAAATGGATGTGGTCCTCTTTGGTGTGACCATGCTTCCCTGCCTGGTAGATGGTTCATCCAGGTAAAGACTTCTCCCACGACTTTTGTCAATGGAGGACATACACATTTTTTTGAATAAGATGAGGCTATTTTTGTTGTGCATTCCAAGGATAAAGTTATAGATTTTCATCCAAATTTTCGATCTATAGGCATCAGGCCATAGCTCTTTTTTGATACGGTAAGGTCCCTCCCATTTGAGACCAAAAATCCCTACTCCGTGACTCTTTAGAGGAGAGGAATACCCTTCGCGGAACTAGATTGTTTATACGAAATGAATTCTTCTTGATCTCGGAATTGTAGTTTTGTTGGTAGATAGCTAATTTTATTTGGGATTCGTTCATCCTTTTATAGAGAAAATTGAGCTTGCACCTTCTCAACTCGTCATTGGGTGTTTCATTGAACTATAAGTGACAAGGAGAGAGTAAACCTACTTCAATTGGGCTCATAGCTTTTGCTCCATAAGCCATGAAGAAAGGAGTTTCTCCTATTGCAGTCCTGCCAGCATATTGAATGGTTCATAGGACCCGAGGTAACTCATAATCCCACGCTCCTTTCGAGGCATCCAACTTCATTTTTAGGGTGTATTTGATGGTTTTGTTGACGACTTCTACTTACCTATTAGCCTGAGAATGGTAGGAATGGAGAACTGCTTTTTAATTCATAGTACCTTGTATAAATCTCTGACTTTCTTGTTATCAAACTATCGTCCATTATCAGATATCATTGAGTGAAAAATGTCGATTCGATAAATAATGTTTGATAAGTGTATTTTTGCACACTTATTGGGCACTTAATTTGATATAATTATTAATTAAATGAATGAAATTCTACTCACAATTGTGTAATATTCACTTTTGTACGCTAAAAATTACTCAAGTAAAGAGAACAAGGAAAAAGAAGGAAAAATGGACTAAAAGCGTACAACATTTGTGACTTTGCGCCAAGGCAAAAAAAGTCAAAAAGCGAAGAACCTTGGGGTGCAATCTATGGAGGGCATAATTGAAAGAAAAGTCAAAATCTAGGGACCAAATTGTACAAGATCAAAGTTGAGGGACCTGATGCGCAATTATCCTAGGGATGGAGCTGTAAATTGACAAAAATTCTGTATTTTGGTTGCTGGACAGATTCTTGGGTGCTGCAGCATTTTATATTATTGAAAAAGAATCTTGGGGACCATTTTGTCTTATTTTCAAAACTTGAGGGACCAAGATCGCAATTTTCCTTAGGTTTTAATGTTAAAAAACAGCATCTTCATTCTGGACGCAACTTCATTTTTCATCTTCTACTGGACGATTTTGCTTCTTCATTTTTCTCATTTTCTTTTCTTTTCTTTTTTTCCTTTCTTTTTCTTGGTATTTTGGGTGCTAAATTTAGAACACAAAGGAGAAGACATCAAGGATTTGGCAAAACTCTTGGGGAATCAAGTTCATGCTTCAAAAAAGAGTTTTATCTATATCTTTGTATTTTCTCCATTATTTAGCCATACTTGTAATACATTGGATGAGTATTCTCCTTGATTATCATTTATTTAACATGGGCTAAGTATTTTGTTGGGATTTATGGTAGTAGCTTGACCTAGGTTTAATTGATTTTCAATATTTGCTATTTGATATTAAATTGCCCATTTCCATGTATTTCTATTATTGCATTTATTGCATTTTCATTTATGTGGCCAATGAATGAGTATGTTTCGTGAAGTATACATTGTTCGAGAGAAGATTGTACATTTTAGATCAAATGGTAGAAACCTTAGGTTTGTGTAGAGGATAGATATATACCTCTAGCCCTAGGTGACCCAATGAGCTATTTTCATAACAATTTAATGAGGTTGTTTGGTTGTAATCGACATAGAAATATAGTAGGTTAAACCAATCAATTAGGGTTAATTTCACTCGAGAGAGGTAATTAGCTAAAATTGAAAAATTGGGTCTAACATCGTAAATGAGTATTCGTTAATTGGCATGTGAAGAAATTAATTAGGTGACAGTTAAGCGAAACCATGAATCCCAACCACATTTTCTTCCAAAATTCCCAAGACTTTCTTAGTTTGTAGATTTTTTCGTATTTTTCTTAGATCAAATCTCTTATTGTGTGTTTGTTTATTTTCATTGTTAGAATTAAATTGATTAAAATTGTGTAATTTAAAGTCAACATTCCTCGAAGGATCGACAATCCGGACTTAAAATGTCTACTTTATTACTTGAACGCGACCCGCGCACTTGCGGTAGTATTTTAGCGAACAAATTTTTGGCGCTGTTGTCGGCGAATGTTTTATTTCAATTATCATCTTTTGTTGATTCTAATTTTTACAAGTTTCGTTCTCTTTTCTTTTGCATAGCTTTTATATATTTATTGTGTAATTAACTTTTAATTTATATTTCCTTAGGTCTTTGTTGGTGCATGCTTCGTTCGAGAAGTTTTGATCTTTTCGAGCTTGATCCGGATATTGAAAAAACTTTTCGAAGAAGGCGACGGGAACAAAGGGAATTGAGAAGGCAACAATTGATTGAGATAGCACACCAAGGAGGTAATTTGGAACATAATGCTCAATCGGAAAATGTTCCTTGAGGTGGCATTCCATCGGGTTTGGGTAACCAAGCGGGTAGAGCTCTAGAGCCTATTGTAAATGAGGAAGATATGCTATTTGGGGACTTCATGAACCCACCTGTAGTAGAGAATGAATCAAGTATTGTCTACCCTCCATATGGACATCCAAACTTTCAACTTCGTCCGGATGTTATTAGTTTGTTCTCCAATACCATTCCATTCTACGGAAGGATTGATGAAAATCCTCACTCACATGTTGCACGATTCATAGAGAATGTTGAAAATTTTAAATATGAAGGCGTAAATGTGGAGGCGATCCGGATGAGGTTATTTGTTCACACATTGAAGGACAAGGCAAGGGACTGGCTTGAGACTCTATCGCTCGGAAATATAAATAGTTGGTTGGAATTTATTCAAAAATTCACGACCAAATTCTTTCCACCCACCCGAGTAGCCAAACTCAAGCATGACATAACCACTTTCCAACAATCCGAATTTGAGAGCTTTCACGAGGCTTGGGAGAGGTTCAAGGATATGCTTCGAACATGTCCAAATCATGGAATCACAATGGGGTAACAAGTGAATTATTTTTATGCCGGGTTGACTCCTTCTTGCCGTTCAAATTTGGATTCATTATCTAATGGCTCAATTAAGAAGAAGAGTATTCGAGAAGCATATGATCTATTTAAGGTCATGAGTGAACAAAGTGCTATGTGGTCGGATAGAGGTTCACAAAGAGGGGTTGGTAGAGTTCGAGATGGTGAAACTTTCTCAATGGTTATAGCAAAGATCGACTCACTAGCAAAGAAGGTAGAAGGACTTTCTACATCTACCTCGAGCTCTCATCCCGCTCATATAGTACAATCCACCTATTTGTGATATTTGTGGAGCAAATCACCCAAGCCTGAGTTGTCCATTGATAGGTAGTGGTTCAGCATCTGCCGAGCAAGTGGCATATATTCAAAACTATCAATACCAAGGGTACAATCCTTATTCGCAAACTTCTAACCTCGATTGGCAAAATCATCCGAACTTTTCTTGTGGAAATAATCCAAATGTGCTCAACTCGATGCCACAAGAGAAAAAAGAAGGTTGGGAAGAGGCTATTGTTAAGTTGGCAAACCATCAATTGCAATATCAAGAACGCAATGATTCCTCTTTGAAAAACTTGGAACATCAAGTGGGTCAAATTGTCAAGTTTATCTCCGAAAGGCAATAGGGGGCATTGCCTAGCAACACCGAAACAAATCCAAGGGAGAATGTACAAGCTATTACCACTAGAAGTGGTGTGCAATTGCCCAAAATCACGGTGACATGCCGTAAGGGTCAAACGGGCAAGGTACTTATTAAAGAAGAAAGGATTATGCAAGAACCTGATCCAAAGGATGAGACACTAATTGAAGAAGAATCGGAGCCATCAACATCAAAGGCTCCAATACCGGTCAAAGCCTATGTGCCTCCTATTCCATTTCCACAAAGGCTTCACAAACAGAAATTGGAAGTTCAATTTGGAAATTTTTTAGAGGTATTCAAGAAGCTACACATAAACATTTTGTTTGCCGATGCATTAGGTCAAATGTTGAGTTATGTCAAATTTAAGAAGGACATTCTTTCAAACAAAAGGAAACTCAAAGAACATGAGACGGTAATGCTAACGGAAGAGTGTAGTGCTATCCTTCAAAATAAGCTACCACCGAAAATCAAAGATCCAGGAAGTTTTATTATTCCATGCACTATTGGAGATTTGAATTTTAGTAAAGCTTTATGTGATCTTGGCGCTAGTATTAATTTGATGCCTTTGTCTATTTTTAGGAAGCTGAGATTGGGAGAAGCCAAGACCACAACTATATCATTACAATTGGCTGATTGATCAATTAAATATCCTCGGGGTGTCATTGAGAATGCATTGGTCAAGGTGGACAAATTCATATTTCCAGCCGATTTCATAATTCTTGACATGGAAGAGAATCATGACATCCCTATTATTTTAGGACGACCATTTCTTGCCACCGATCGAGCTTTGATTGATGTGCAAGAGGGACAGCTCATTCTAAGACTCCAAGATGAAAAAGTTATATTCAATATCTTGAAGGCCATCAAGTATCCATCGGAATCTGATTCATGTCTTCGAGTAGATGTTGTTGATCATGTGGTTGCCGAGTCTTTTTACAAGCTTTCAAGGATCCTCTAGAAACATGTCTTGTTTGTCCTTCGGCTATCAAAGAGGAAGATCCTGAAGTTGAGCATATGGTACACTATTTGGAGGCTACACCTTCTCAGTCTTATAAGAGAGCACCAAATTATGAGGACTTGGAAAAGAGCTCTTCACCACCACTGCCATCTCTTCAGCAGGCACCTATACTTGATTTGAAGGCTCTTCCATCTCATTTGAGATATGTTTATTTAGGAGAGTCATCTATGCTTCCGATTATCATTGCTAATTCGTTAAATGAATTGGAGGAAAAGAAGTTACTTCGGGTGTTGAGGGAGCACAAGGGAGCCATTGGTTGGACTATTGCAGACATTAAGGGAATTAGTCCTTCACTATGCATGCACAAAATCCTTATGGAGGATGATTTCAAACCATCAGTGGAGCATCAAAGGCGGTTGAACCCCAACATGAAAGAAGTGGTAAAGTGGCTTGATGTGGGCATTATTTATCCGATTTCAGATAGTGCATGGGTGAACCCCATTCAAGTGGTGCAAAAGAAAGAAGGTGTCACAGTTGTGGAAAATGAGGATAATGAGCTTATACCTACTAGACCCGTGACCGGTTAGAGGGTATACATAGATTACAGTAAGCTTAACAAGGCTACAAGGAAGGATCACTTTCCTCTTCCTTTTATTGATCAAATGTTTGAGCGGTTAGCAGGGTATTTTCATTATTGTTTTTTAGATGGGTATTCAGGCTATAATCAAATTCTTATAGCCCCAGAGGATCAAGAAAAAACTACCTTCACATGCCCATATAGTACATTTGCATATAGAAGGATGCCCTTTGGCCTTTCCAACGCACCCGCCACTTTCCAAAGGTGTATAATGGCTATATTCTCCGACATGGTGGAGAAATGTATTGAGGTTTTTATGGATGACTTCTCGGTATTTGGGGCCTCATTTGACAGTTGTTTAAGCAATTTAGAGATGGTGTTGAAAAGATGTGAGGAGACAAATTTAGCACTTAATTGGGAAAAATGTCATTTCATGGTCCAGGAAGGCATAGTTCTAGGCTATCGAATTTCACGTAAAGGGATAGAGGTTGACAAGAAAAAAATCCAAGTCATTGAGAAATTACCTCCACCTACCTCAGTGAAAGGGATAAGGAATTTTTTGGGACATGCCGGATTTTATAATAGGTTTATCAAGGACTTCTCAAAGATCACAAAGCCACTTTGCTCCTTACTTGAGAAGAACACTCCATTTGATTTCTCTCAAGAGTGCCTCCATGATTTTAACACTTTTAAAGAGAAACTCATCACGGCTCCTATCGTTGTAGCTCCGGATTGGAATTTACCATTTGAGCTTATGTGCGATGCAAGCGATTATGCCGTTGGAGCAGTTTTGGGGCAAAGGAGAAATAAAATCTTGCATGTTATTTACTATGCTAGCCAGATTTTGACTGATGCTCAACTGAACTATGCCACTACTGAAAGAGAGATGCTCGCAGTGGTATTCGCATTTGATAAATTTCGATCTTACCTCATTGGATCGAAAGTGATTGTTTACACAGACCACTCAACCCTCAAGTATTTGCTAGTAAAGAAAGATGCCAAGCCTCGGTTAATTAGATGGGTCCTTCTACAAGAGTTTGACTTAGAAATTCATGATAAAAAAGGGACCGAAAATACTGTTGGCGTCGATCATCTGTCTCAACTTGAGCAAACCAAAGAGGTGGTGGATGGGGAGATAAATGAGGTATTTCCCGATGAACAACTCTTGCAAATTATGCATCTTCTACAAGCCACCCATATAACATGGTATGCGGACCATGTGAACTTTCTTGCTAGTGGCATCATTCCCCCGGATCTCTCTTACCAACAAAGGAAGAAGTTCTTTGCCGACATCAAGCATTATTTTTGGGACGATCCTTTGTTGTTCAAATGGGGTCCGGATCAAATTATTCGGAGATGTGTGCTAGAAGATGAAATGGAGCAAATCCTTGAACAATGTCATTCCTCACCCTATGGTGGTCACTTAGGGCTGTAAAAACCGCATCAAAGGTACTTCAATCCGATTTTTATTGGCCCACATTATTCAAAGATGCTCACACTCTTGTCTCCAAGTGCAACAAATGCCAACGCGGTGGTAATATTTCCAACCGAAATGAAATTCCTTTGAATTCTATATTAGAGGTGGAAATTTTTGATATATGGGGTATTGATTTTATGGGACATTTTCCCCCTTCATTCTCAAATTAATACATATTGGGAGCGGTTGATTATGTGTCAAAGTGGGTAGAAGCGGTGGCTTTGCCCACTAATGATGCTCGGGTGGTAGTAAACTTTTTAAAGAAAGATATTTTCTCTCGCTATGGCACCCCTCCGAGCTATCATTAGTGATGGAGGTAAACATTTTTGTAATCGCCTCTTCGACTTAGTATTGACCAAATATGGAGTAAAGCATCGTGTAGCCACTCCCTATCATCCCCAAACTAGTGGCCAAGTTGAAATTTCAAATTGGGAGTTGAAGAGGATTCTTGAATTGACGGTGAGTGCCTCTAGAAAAGATTGGTCTAAGAAATTGGATGATGCATTATGAGCTTATCGTACCGCATTCAAAACACTCATTGGTATGTCTCCCTATCGTCTTTTGTTTGGGAAAGCTTGCCACCTCCGAGTAGAACTTGAGCATCGAGCTTATTGGACAGTAAAAGCTTTGAATTTTGATGTGAAATTGGCCAGTGAGGAAAGATTGCTCCAATTAATGAACTGGATGAAGTCCGCCTTGACTCTTATGAGACTGCTCAAATTTATAAAGAAAAGACAAAGAAATGACATGATAAACACATTGTGAAACGTGAGTTCTTTGTTGGGCAATAAGTTCTTCTCTACAATTCTCGACTCCGATTGTTTCTTGGAAAGCTCCGCTCGAGATGGTCCTGTCCTTTTACCATTACTAAGATTTTTTCACGTAGAGCAATTGAACTTCGTCATGAGGAAAAGGGAAACTTTAAGGTTAACGGGCAACGATTGAAACCATACTTTGGAGGTGATTTTTCTAAGGAAAAGTCCTCCATTCCTCTTGCCAATTTGGAGTGAACAAGGCCTATAGTCGAGCTAGGGACTATAACCAAGCACTTGTTGGGAGGCAACCCAACTTTCTTATCCTTACACTTTTGTTTATGTTACTTGTGATTAATACTTTTATTATTACATTTTGAATTAATACAATTCTTTTGTAGGTCAAAATTTTTGAAATCCTAGCCACCCATAGATCTCAACAAGTTTGGGGATGCATGGTCCACTAAGTCATAAACCAAAAATTCATCTACAACATCCTTCAACAAACACCTAATTAGGGAAATTTCGTCAACCCTCTCTCCTTATTTTGTATTTATGCACACATTGAGGACAATGTGTGGTTTAAGTTTGGGGGTGATTGTACTTTAATTGGTGATATTGTGTTGATATGTTAGATAGCCTCGTCGATTTTGCATGGTTTTGATGTTTGAAATTGTTATTGATTCATGAGTTATGCATACATGACCAAATATGCTATTTGTGCATAATTTTTTCAAAAAAAGTGCTTATCTATTGTGAGATTTTGAATTACTTTGAGCACAATAGTCATGATTAATTGTTATCTAGATGTGGAAAATTTTTTATTGAAGGATATATTTTTGAATTGGTTGAACTAGGCCGTGACTTGTGAGTTGTTTGGAAATTTTTATTAATCTATATTCTCTTTTCTTTCACTTTACTAAATTGTGAGATAAGTTTGGGGTGGTTGAGCCGGTGAAGGAGATTATCTAGAAGTGTGTGATTCCGTACATGTTGAAAATATTTGTGTGGAGTGTCTTTTGCCTAGTATAAGCTAGGTAATGACCGTATGCTAGGGATCTAACTCCCATTTTTGTTGTGTTAAAAAAAAATGAAGTTATTGTACTTGTTGAATCTTGGGCCTCACTTTGTAGCCTTTTTTACTCAAGTTATTAAGTTCATAGGGGTATTTTGAAATCAGGTACCCTTTGGCCTAAACAACCAAAGAGTTATCGACCTAAAGCTCACTACAAGGGTCAAGAAGAAAGGTTAAGGGAGTGAGGTAAAACATGAGATTCGGCTAAAAAGAAAAAAAAAAGAGAAAAAATGTTATTGATATTTGGGCTTAGATAACTAGTGAGTTTGAATTGCTTAGTATAAACTTGAATGTGAGAGGACTCATTAGTAGAGAATCATCACATGACTAGAGATTAATATTACCAGTTGGACCCAACCGAACTAGAGCGGGAAAAGAAATGAGTGAATGGAGAGCAGCCTTAAATTTACACCTCGGGGGAAGAATTGTAATATCTATTTGAGGAGTGTAAATTTCACGAGTGGGAAAGGAAATATTTGACCACAAAGGGTCATGTTGGAGCCAATTTGAAGATTTTTCCGTCTTGACAAATTTTTTCCTAATTTAGATAATGATTGAAAGTAACTTTACACACGCACACCGATCGAACATTGGATAATCTTAAATTATTTTTGCTAGCATTATTTGGAGCATATTTGTGAATTGATTATACAATTTTACACTCATTGATATTTTTGGCAAGCTATTTAGTGTGTTGACCATTATCACTTTTATTTGATTGTGTGGTAGATAATCTTGCTCGAGACGAGCAAGAGTTTAAGTTTGGAGTTTGATAAGTGTATTTTTGCACACTTATTG